TCTACAGATGCTTATGGAAACGTATACCAGACAGATATTAATTTCAACATATGCTAATAACTATTTTCTGCAGATGCTAATGGAAACATATACTGATTAACACAGATGTTAATGGAAACAGATGCTAAAGCTATGGATACTAATGACTAAGGATGCTAACTATAGATCTTAATGTCTACAGATGGTGATGACTACAGATAGCTACATATTAAATAAATTATCATAAACTCCACAAGACAACAAATAAAACCACAGTAATCATAATATTCAATATATCCCTTCTGTCCTGCTCACTGCAGAGCCATGAACAGCCTGCTATGCGCTGCTATAAACACCTGCCAGCAGCCGGACATGTTTCCTCATCTGTACCGACTGACCCGGTTCAGCAGGGATTTACCTGTCTGTCTAACACCAATATTCTTGAAAGTGTTACCTTCTGAGGAAATGGTGGAGAATTGGCTGGTGACAGAGAGCCGTGGAGGTCAATGGGAGTCCGTCTCCTGGCAACCATGACAGCAGCTGACGCGAAGCAGAGGGGGTCCTGCTTCGAAGCAAGACAATTTAGTTGGCTTTGATAGTTTCTCCTTTGTCTTTGGTTAACGTTTGTTAGATTTAGTGTGTGTGACAGATCTGTGTATCAAACATTTATGAAAATATGGAATAAATTGCTTTCCTTGTTGGTTCAATTTGGGATGCAACTTTTAACTACTAAAGAAAAAGAGGATTCCGTATCTTAAGGAACAAGTTGCAGTCATTCTGCAGATGCCAATGAAACCAGATGCTACCGATGCTAAATACTGAAGATGCTAATAGACACAGATGCTAATGATAAAAGCTGTATTCCATCGTTTCTATGAAGATGGGTTGACCTTGTGTTTGCGTTTCTGCAGGACCGAGGAGGAGAAGAAGGACTGGATCCAGGTGAGTTCACACAGGTTCTGTTGCTTTTGAGCAGTCTCTTAAAACAGTCTGGTCGCTAATGGAAACAAATATCGGTTGTTTCTGAAACCTAAAGCTTTCAGACACTAAAATAAGCTTTCAGGATTAAACAGAAAGTCTTCATGACAACTTAAGGAACACAAATCCTACATCAGTGATTGACGGGTAGCAGCTCGGGTTCAAGCCTTCTCATAAAGCATGAAATAAAAACTGTTCCTAGAAGTTTAATCCTATGTAGATGCCTGAATTGCTGTGGCAACATGCAAAATAAAAAATATTTACAGTTTATCTGAAAAATGTCAAAAAAAGATCTGATACCCTGAAAATTATTCTGGATAAATCTGGAGAATTTTATTAGATTCAGAGTTGACAAGTGTTTAAGCCCAAATAATGAGTTAAACAGAAGTACAAAAACAACTTTAGTATGTAAAAAGCCAGCAAGGTGATTAGGATCATTGATCAGTGGACCTTTAGCTGCTTATGTAGGTATGTAGGACGGATTCCTGTTTGCCAGCACAGGTGTCTTGGAGCTATTTTCTCCCTCAGATGCTGGAGGGCCTGATCATCATCATCCTCCTCTTATCTTTTTTTTTTACTATTTATTTAATTTAGACAGATTTCCATCACATTCATTAATGACAGCTTTACCCATTTAAGGTCATACATGAGGATATAAGCAGAGATTTCAGGCAGACAGACTGATGTCATTTACAGAAGCGTTTATTGACAACACGTAAAATCTGCGACTCAGCAGTTAGGACGAAAAAGCCTGGAACCTCTGTAGAGGGGAAAACTCAGGTTAGTGACCTCGTAAATCTGATGGAGGACGATTACGAGCGTGTCGGTCACTAACCTGATTATAAAGTTCGGTCCGAGCCCAGAAGAAGGAGCTGAATCCAGCTGGATGATCTCCCACAGCATGCGGCGGACGCTGGCCAGAGAGGTCCAGGAGTCGAAACCACGAAGGCTGCTGAACCGGCTGATGAAGCAGGCAGACGAGGGACTCTATTTTCTTTTCGCTCCCTTTATTGTGTTTTTGCAAAATTGGTCTCCTTTTGGAATGTTGGTTCTTCTCTCCTTGTAAAAGGCCTGATCCCCACTATGAAAGCACCATCTTTGGCACAATTAGCCATCAGGATCCCAATTAAAACTCTGCAGATCTATGAGGACTAGAGATTAATTCCCCAGAGATGAATCCCTGATGTTCAGAAGATCTTGTAAATGTCGCTGCAGTGAAGCAACTAGAAAGCACACAGAAGCTCAAAACACACAAAAGGCATACCAAGGCAACCATTGATGTATTCTAATTTTAAAAAAGAACAATATTAAGGAGATAAATATAGAAAATACTGGAATAAATTTTCTTTTTTGTTTTTTTTTCCACTTTCAGGCTATCCAGGCCACCATTCAGCGCCACGAGCAGACGATGGAGAGCTTCAGATACCTGACCTGTTCGCTGCGTGATGACGAGTCCACCCCGCCTCACTCCCCGGTAACACAGCACTCCCCCTGCTGTTCCCCTGTGGTTCTGCGGCCTTCTGAGGCCTGGCCGTAACTCCCTGTGCTTCTGTTTCAGAGTTGCGTGGAGTTGGGAAAACGAGCTCCAACCCCGATCAGAGAGAAGGAAGTAACTCTGTGCATGAAGTGTCAGGAGCCGTTCAACTCCATCACCAAGAGACGGCACCACTGCAAAGCCTGCGGACACGTACGTCCACCGTCATCGCTCGCCGTCTGAAGCCTGACGCGTCTCTGACCCTCTGTCCTATGCCTTCCAGGTGGTTTGTGGAAAATGCTCCGAGTTTCGCGCTCGTTTGTCGTACGACAACAACCGGACCAACCGTGTTTGTGTAGACTGCTATATCACTCTGGTGGGAGTCTCGCCTTCGCCAGGAGGACTGAGCAGCAGCACTCAGAGGAGGCGCTCCATCCTGGAGGTCAGTGTGACATCACCGGTACCGTCCTCTCTCCTTTTCCTTGGGATAACTGATTGCCTCTTGTTTTGGTGTTGCAGAAACAGGCCTCGCTGGCAGCAGAGAACAGTGTGATTTGTAGTTTTCTTCACCACATGGAGAAAGGAGGGGGGCGCGGCTGGCAGAAGGCGTGGTGCGTCATCCCTGAAAACGAGCCGCTGGTGCTCTACATCTACGGCGCTCCACAGGTGACGCTTCCCTTTACCTCCATCTCGTTTTGTTACATGCATGAAGGAACCTGCTGAGAAGGACCAAGGGAACCCTTCTGGGGCCCCCTACAGGCTACTGTAAGCATTACAGAAACAGCCCTGCTATTAAAAAAGGTGGGCTGTTTTTCTTTGCAGGCAGGGAGAGGTAGCCTCGTGAGACCATCCTGATCTCGCGAGCTTTCAAGGTTTCACTCGCAGATCAGTCTGGAGACTCTCCGTTGAAGAAAATTTGGAGCCGTTCACCAAACGAACGTCCAATCAGCGTTGGCTTTGAGGCGGGTTGAGGTGTGACGCAACGATAAGCGCGACCGTTCAGTCCAAAGAACGTGGCGGCTTCAGTCGATGGAACTAGCGTTAGC